AATGACTTGAAAGGTCACTAAACAAAGCCGTTTATTTTCGATGAAAAGTTCAATGCACAGAGGTCAAGTGAGATCATTTCTTTGAACACAATTGTGTTACATTCCTTTGATATCCTATGCAAGAATTATGATTAAATTCAACGTTAAGTTCATTTTATCACATTGTATTTTGTAGTTCATTAATTTGAATAACTTTTGAATAATTAATTTTTTTTAATAAATTTTTGCTTGGTAATCTGATCAGTTGTAATAAAAATTTGTAATCGATATATATATAAAATAAAGTCTGATCAGATAAATAAGCTGAAATTGTGATTACTGTCTTGATTAAATTGTACATTCGTTTTAGGCAACAGTTTCTGTAGAAGACTGCAAAATTTTACTTATTGCTAACAATATTTGATATTGATAAACTTTTCAGTATCACTGATTGGAAAGCAAATTATCTAAATTAATAAATATTTTATTTAAAAATCAATGGTATACTTTGCACCACCACCAATAACTGCAGAAGAAGTAGCTGGTGCTGAAGAGATCAGGTTAGCATAATATTAGTTAAGAAATAGCAGCATTTAATTTATGATAATATCAGTATTAGTAGATTTATAGACGGCATCAATTTAATTTGAAATTATTTCTTGTGCAAACTATTTCTAAAGGCTAATATTAATTATAAAATTTTAGCAAATATTCAAAATTTTTTCAGAAAAAAAACAAGAATAAGGTCTGATATTCATGGGGATAACTTGAAAGATATATTAATACTTATGTTAATAAATAAACTTGATAACTTGTTAATAACTTTATTTATGCTGAGTAAATGATTTAAATTACTATTACATAAACTTTTATTTAAATACATAACACAAAGAGGTATGAATTTTTTGCACATATATTACTGATACAATTTTGAAATTTTTACTGAAAATTGTCAGATTTTATTGAACTTAAACAAATTAATATGTAAAAATTTTAAGACGAAAAGTAGCAAATATTCCAAATGCATTCAACACAAATTATTATCTTGCGCGATGGTGGCGTGCTTACAATGGAGATATAAATCGGATTAAAAAAAATATGAAAGATTTATTCGATCATCGCCAAGTGCTTGGATACGATCAAATCGAAACGGATTTATTGCAAACAAAATTGGAAATTGCTAAAAAAACTTTTGAAGTAATTTCAACAAATTTATAACTCTGAATTATGACTTAATTTTTCACTTCATTTAAATTTTTTTGCGTATTTAATTAATTTTTTAATTTTAAAAGTTTTACAAAAGTAGTTTTGAAAAATGATTACAACAAAATTCAAAAATTTAATTTTCAAATAAATTATTTTTGAAATGAATTATTCCCAAAATGATTTTAAAGTGTATTTTAAAATCATTTTGCGAATAATTTAAAATCATGAATTTATTGCTGATTTCATCCGGGGAATAAAGTCATCTTGGAAATAATTCTGATTTAAAATCATTTTGGGAATAATTCATTTCAAAAATTTCCAAGTTTTTATATTTTCTAATTAAACAATTTAAAAATGTACAAAAGTAAATGCTCTATAAAAATGATAAGATTTTTTAATTCAGTATAATACTGATTACTTAAAAAACAATTAAATCAGTAATGAATTTCATATAGTTACAAAATATTTAACTGTGCAGTACAAAAGTGATTTTGTATTTTAGCGTTTTTGCATATCAAAAATAGCTTTGTATAGAAGAGCTAATAACGTATGCGTTTTCGTGCAACGAATGATTGTAAACGATATGGATGAAGTTAGCTAATTTATCAATTTACTTATTATTTTTTTGCTATAAGTAAAAGACTAAACAAAAATGAAAAAAATTGTAACACTAAGTTTTAATTTAAAAATTAATAAACTTAATCTGTGCTTGAATGCTAAAAACAACTTTATTAATATACCACTGAATTAAAAATAAATAAATTATAACTTGATAAATTTTTAGTCAAATAGTACAGCATAAATTTGTAACTAATATTCATTTTTATTGAATCAAATAATTTACAAACTTATGTATTTGTTATGATTGCATTATGAATGAGTTATACTCAAGAAAATATTCATAAAATATTCATAATCTCATTACGGAGCAACTTTTATTCAAATTGAGACGAATTTCGTGAAAAAAAACATTTTTTTTAATAATTTAGGAAAGTTTTGATTACTTATGTTGGGATTTTTTTTTTTTAAATAAATTCTAAAAACTTAAAAATGACTTAAAGAAGTTTACTTTTAGATAGTCAAAGTAATTCCGTTCAGTTATGTATTACATTCTTACTTTATTTTGCAAGAAGCATTTACGAGAGCTCAGTTAGAAACTGAGAAGATTACTGATTCCCCCGCGGTCGTAGCTTCCATTCTTGACCTCTCTGGTGTGAATTTTACCAATTTATTAAATCCATTCAGTATTTCCGCTCAATTCGTGCGTCTGATTGTTAAAGTATGGGCTGATTATTTCATCGAAGCGGTAATTCCAATACTACTAAACTGTTTGTGGAAATTAACGATAATTTAAAAAATTTTCGTATTTCTGTCCTAATTTGATTTTAATTCAAAATTTTATGATTCAAAACAATAAGTTAAATAATATCGACTTTTGCAAATGGAAACAAAATAATATAAGTCAATTGAAGCAAGGCAAATTGTTCCTCATCAACTCACCAGTATTAATAAATGTCTTGGGTCAAGTAGCTAAACTTCTAATGGACAAAAGAACTCAATCTCGAATTCAGTTTCTGAATCATCCAAATGATTTGCTCAAATATCTCAACCCAACTGTTAGTATCTTCAAAATCAAATCAAAGTAAATAATTCAGACAACAGAAATATATTCTAGCCATAAAGTACCAAAGAAGTTAGTAATTTCATGAAAAGAGAACTATTCTTCAAAATATTATTTTTCCCTAATAAACTTATCGTTCCAATCTTTCATTATATTCAAAATTTGAATATTCAGCACTGATTTAAAACCATTTTGAGAATAATTCATTTCAAAAATTTCCTAGTTTTTATATTTTTTCTAATTAGATAATTTAAAAATGTACTAAAATAAATGCTTTATAAAAATAATATATAAATAATT